CTGCTGTTCTCTTTTCCGTGCAATGGCAATGAATGGAGCTGTTTTGCAAAAGAACCACAAATGATACATAAAAGTGGTTGTGGTTCATACAACTTTACGTCTTCTGTAATTATACAATAAGTTTGTGTGAAGATCTTGGCCAAATATACATCAGTATTCATTGATTATGTTAACCGCCGTAACCGGAACGTTGAATCAGTGAGTTGAACTCGAAAACTAGATCAGTGTGAATCATGAACTAATCATAAAAAATCACTCACATCTGATTTTTCTTTTAAATAGTTTAATGGTTACCATAACACCTTCTTGTCATCTTATATTTTTTAAAAGCAGAACAGATGAATGAGGAACTCCTATAGTCTGTATATTTTTGAGTCGTAAGTAGTGAGCTGCGTTTTTGGAGAAACGCGATTATAAGAAAACAACTTGAATTTTTGACTGTGTTCTTCTTTCTAATGTTATTTTACTAAAGCAAATGTAACGGGGGTATTTAGCCCGTTGTGTAGGGGAAATGGATTACGGCTGCCCTGGAAGTTTGGACAACGAAAGGATCTTGGTCCCCGCTCCCCAAACTTTTTAGTCTCGTTACACACTAACGTGTGTATGTGGTTTCTTACCTTATTGTGTTGGAACACTACTGATTGACAAGGGTAGGCTTCAGGTATGGTAACGTTGTGAGACCTTCATAGTTTACTTCAACTGGAACTGGTGACTGCATGAGTAAGTTCTTATCAGCCTGAACCTTGTCTTCCTTTAATTCTTTGACGAAGTACACCGACATCTTCCTCCAATTCAAGAACATCCTTTGTGACCACCTCTTTTGGCTTAAAAACAGAAGCCACTCTAGATCGGGGTGCAATTCTAATGGTCTTTCCACTCAAGTTCAGCATACGCACAGGGACCTTTCCACAGTCTGTTTTAGCAAGAACGTGAGCCACTAAGAGTCCTTTCGGCAAACTTGTGCCAGCTGCAGGTTCTACTAGCACATTACTATTCACCCTAGGTGACACTCCACAGCGGCCCTCAAGTACCTTCTCACAGTGGGGAGGAATAGTGACAGCTTGTCGATCACAACACTGCACTCACTTCTGTGTGTGACACACTCATACACGGCGCTCTTCTTCATCTCTCTCTGCTGCACCTGCAGCACGCGCAAAAAGCGGACCACTCGCCAAAATAAAAGTATCCCAAAGATAATCTCTTTTCAAAATAATATACCCGTTACATTACCACTAGGGGTGCTAGGGTGTTTTAGGTTTCCTTAAGTAAAGCCATGTGGTAGAGGGAGTTAGCAATAACAAGCAGCAGTAGCCAGCATGGCTCACCTGCTGAGCACATTGTGCTGTCCGTTACACAAATGAACAGTTTTCGGAGCACGCATGAAATACTCATCGCTTCTTCTGCTAGTTAGTTATAGCATGAAAAAACTTGAATAAACATCAGAGTGTTGAATATTACAGTATTCACTGAAATATATAATCTCTCATGGAGAGGAAAGACGTCATTAAAACAGCTCATCAACTACATCTTTTTTTTATTATTATTTAAATGCCAGTCTTATTACAGCCAATGAACATGACAGTAGTCATTTCCAATATACAGTATAAAAATATTGAAAATAGATTAAGTAGATGGACAAAACTTTCATTTTTGGGTGCAGTATCCCTTTAAAAATGAATATTTGCTCTCATCTCGGATCATTGAATATCACAGATTATTCCACGGAAAGAGGTAGATGTACAGGACACGTCAGTCTAGGTGAGAGACTGCAAACGTTTCGCTCTTTCTCCGTCTGCCACTGTCTTTTGCGTCTGCATATTCCATGAATGTGCATTTAATGCTTCTCCCGGGGCCTGAGCCCATGAGCAGCACTGAATCATGGGCCGTGCATTCAGTGCCAACATAAATAATCCCTGCTGAGGAAGGAGCATTAGCCAAATGCTCTCTCGCAAGAAGAGAAAACTCTGCTAAATCTTAAATAACAAACACAAGCTTGACACTGACGACCCTGTTGTCTGCATGACACGATGACTTTCGTGGCTCTCTGTGCAGTCAAATTCTGAATACTGACCTATAGTACATCACAATCACAGTTCATCATCATCATTAGCTTGATGTCATGATTTCGTTTAGCGGATGGTGCTAAAATGGTCAATATATGCAATATATACTGTAAGAGCCAGAGGACATCCTCCATCTGCTCTGAAAAGCTGCCGTCATGCTTTAGCTGGACATTGGCCTGCACATGCTGCAGCTGCCCAACCTCAGTTGTGGTCACTGGTCATATGCTTTCCAGAATCCTTTTCCTCGTCTTTCTCAAAGCATTTTTTGTTCGTCGTCGTCCTCTTCACCCTCCTCCTCCTCCTCACCTCCCCTGCTTGCCAGAGTCTTCTACATTCATCTGTAAAGTTACCGAAAAGCACAAACAGACGTCCCTCAACAAATTGGATACATCTCTGTTTCTCACTAGCTCTTACAAGGTTGGCTGCATCAAAGTCGGTTTGGTCTCTGCATTTACTCTTCTGCCAAACACAGGAGGAGCAAATCTGAACATGAAGAACTGATGCAGACTGTGTGGTTGATACCAGCGATCACAAACCCTAGAATTTTCATAATTATCTTTACATACTACAACCTGTGGTTATTTTGTTGTGAGAGTATGATTCAGCTGCATAAATGGATGATGTAAGTGAAAACATACCATAATTTCTCCCTCTACAAATACTACCTGGTCTCTAAAGACATTTTAAATATTTAAAATAGTTAAAAGAATTAAAATTCAAACATACATAAAATAATTAAGAGATCACTAACAGGTTTGTTAAAAATATAATATAATATAATATAATATAATATATACGACTTTATGAGATTCTCTAAACTTAAGAGACCTTGACAAGTTTAGCAAGCCTGAATGACATCACAGAAGTAAACGTAGCGTCAGGTGACATGTTGTTGACTATTGTTAATCTTTGTTTGTTTATGGGGAAATACCATATACATAAACAGAAATGGGCTAAAGGAAAACCTAAAGGATAGATATGAAACATTCGTTCCTACTTGGGTTGAAAAATAGTAGAGCAAAACGCACTATGATCAACATAGAAAGTATGATCTCATACTTTTTTTCTTTATTTATTTTTTACTTGTATTAGTTTTTTACTGTATATTCTCATTTTCTGCATGTACTTACCCTCATATCACTTGAAACTTGAATACAGTTTCTTTTTCATGGACCATGAAAGTTATTTAGAAGAATATCAAAACCTAAAGATACATAACACATTTTCTATTCGAAGTATTCACAATACTGTATATTCATGACGACTCTGGGGACTATAAGAGCTTTTAGAGTTACTCTAAAGTTGACTGTCATTATATTAATTGTTTCTTCCATGAGTTTCAAGTACAAAAACGTTAAAATTTATGTTTTAATATTAGCATTTTACATATAATTAGCAGAAATACTAATAGAGGAAAGGAAAAATTACACAGGTTTGAATGATGACGAGGAGACAGAATTTTCATTTTTGGTGATCCATCCCTTTAAATTTGCCACAATAAGGATATTGAAATCAGATTAGGTGTTATGGAGTCTACGGAGAGTGAGTTTCCATAATTTCTGTGGCACATTTCTTCCTATTATGCAAATCTCAGGGTAATATTTCACCTTTCTTTTGGCTGTCTTGTGAGTATGTTTGACTGTCATTGCATGCCACTTTCTTCTATTGTATTTAAAAGACAGGAATGCCCACATGCATGCCACACATGACATTTCAGTTGTAGCCTAACAAATGAAGCATTAGATAAGTTTGAGTGTTTTCAGAGTATTTCATTGAGCATTTTGTGCCATGCTCTTTCAGCCATCATGCAGGACGCCCACTTAGGGAGTAGAAACTGTGCTGAACTTTCTCCATTTATAGACATATTTGTCTTACTGAGAACTGATGAACAGAAAGCTTTCAGAAATACTTTTATAATCCTTTCCAGCTTTATGCAACAATTCTTAATTTTTAGCTGTTATGAGATCTCTTTTTGCTTGAGGCCTGGTTCACGTCAGGCCATGTTTCTTGCAAATAATAAACTAAACATTTGTAAGTCTTTTATAGGGCAGGAGCTCTGACCAACACCAATGCATCACTTAACTGCAGATCAGGTCAAACTTATTTTACAAACCATGCTGAAATCATACTTCTCCTGCAACTTTAATAGCTTAGCTCCTTAATTACTATTGAAAGATAGCTAGGCTTTGCGGTTTGCACATCTAATGTGAGGCAGATTTGTGTTCTAGTAGAAAAGGAGCTCAAATACATTGTTCTTGCAGTGACTCAAATCTTCCATGCCCCTGGTACTGCCTTGGACACTCGTCTACATACATCAGTCATTCAATGAGGAAAACATGCCCAGAGACATCTTTCTATGTTGATCAGCATTTTCATGCATATTCCACTTTCATTAACAAGAACTGAAAGTCAGAGCCCATGGGAACCCAATGTTAACTTGGCCAGAAACGAACTGCATCTGGCTGAGGCATTTCATCAGTTATGTTCTGCCCAACTAATCAAGCTATAAATGCTTAGTCTAAATAAATAATATTATTAGATGGCTCCTTTGCATACTTCATTCTGATTGGTCAATCATGGCTTTCAGCAGTAACATTTTTTTTTTGTTTGTATAATGACCACTAAACTACTGACAACTGACAAATAATTTCAACTGATGTCAATATTTCATGTTTATTTATATATTTTGCTATTTCAAATAAATGCTGAATGTTCTGTGGTTCAATCACATAACGGCTGCTGAAAATTCAGCAGCAGAAAACAAAGTATCACGGTTTCCACAATTTCTTTTTCCCACAAAAGCAAATTTATTGATAATAAATGCAGCCTTTGTGACCACAAGAGGCTTATTTCAAAACATGAAAAATATATTGCTGCCAAACTTTTGAAAGGTAGTGTAAAATTCCATAGTTTTATTCAATTACATTTAATAGCTTAATTTATATAAAAGTTTCAGAGAACAGGTGGGGTACAAGGCTTTGTGGACTGGTCTCTTTTATATATTTCTGTTGTTAATCTTGACACAATAAACAACTTTACAACTATCTGATTTATTATTGACACAGTGGGCTTGAGCAATGATTAATGTTCAACATGCCTGTAAATAAAAGAGACAAAGTATTTCTCAATAACTGGATATAAAATGCCGCTGGTTACGGTCATTGGATTTCTCTTATCCAAAATATCTTGGATAATTTCCTGCAACTACCAGTAAAGCAGGAACTCTTAAAACAACAAGTTGGCTAAAGAAACTGTAGAGAAAGTGCCCCCTTCTGGACAAGAACAACACAGTGAACATAGTAGTTATTAAAATAACCGCTAAAACAAAAATCACAGTTTACATCTGCTGTTTCACCAGTATTTTATTCATTTTTACTCATACAAATGTCTTTTTTAGAAATAAAGGCAAAGGTATTGATTTCTTTAAAGAGGAATGGTGACATCTCTTCTTCTTTTCCTTATTCTGTCTCCAAAACTGGGAATACAGAGGAAGTGATGTCCATTTTAAGCTCTGTTATTTTTGAACCTTTTCCAGAGGCTTTAAACATCTGAAAACTGATGATGGCCACTTTTGGCATGTCCACCACCAGTTGTATTGTGGGGAAAGTGGTTTTTCAGATGTCCTCTAGAGGGAGCCTTCTGCCACTCTCTTAAATAGTGTCTGTCTCTGTTGTGAGGTCATGTTCTCACATGACTCCAGAAGATTGGTCATGATCAGCGTCTGCTGAACAGTCTTTGATTTCACCCACACTCTGCCATTCATCCCAACAACCAGCTCAAAGGGGAATATCTTCTCCAGGTCCTTCACTATTTCACTCTGAGGAGCCAGAAGTCTGATGGAAAGAACACCACCACATTCTTTACTTTAGCTTTTAAGTTCTACAGGCAAAAATACAATTATTGGGCTATTTGGCTTTGCATAAAGTGTTGGAAAGAAAACGTGCAAAATTATTGCACTTTATCCATTTACATCTGTAGATTTCGATTATAATACATATATTTAAAGGCTGTTTTTTTTTTTTTTTTCTCTCACAAATCTCTATTTCAATAGCACTTACAAAAACTTTTACAGTTTATCACTATCAATTCAATTTTTTTCTTCCTGAAAACATGGTGAAATATATTTTATCTGATTGTTACCAGTATTTTCTGATTTGTGTAGTTATAAAAAGAGATTAAACGAAATTTTAACCTGGCTTTATCCAATATTCAAATGTCTGTTCTAGGAATGTATGCAAACCAGTGCATATTTAATTAGATACTGCATTATTTGTATATTTAAACAACATTTCAGAAAACTTGTAATACATCAGCTAGGGAAGTATGGTAATACATTAATCATAAAAAATCAGAAAATCATATTTCACGTTACAAAAACAGCATTCTTCCATCTTAGAAACATTGCCAAGTTACGAAACATGTTACCTGTTTCTGATGCAGAAAAGCTAGTTCATGCATTCATGACATCTAGGCTAAAATAATAAGTGCACATAAACTTTGGGTTTACTGGTGTGAGTCCAGTACCCTCACCCGTCTCTGCTGAGAGTCTATCCAGTACATATTTGGCTGTTTATGGCGCAAAATTCCACTTTTACACACTTGAACTTCCTCCCCGTTTTTCAATTGAATTAAAAAATGTTTTACCCTATTCACCTGGGGTGTCTTGCCTTCTGAGTTGGGCTTGGAAGTATATAGATTTCTAAGCTGTATAACAAATCACAAACCTGCGCACGAGTCCCAGTGATAGTTTAAAGAGCAGCCCGTCCCCTCCAAACACCCCCATCCCGTTGGCCCTGCCACAGCTGTCTATACAGACCAGCTCGGGCTCCATATCTTTGTTTGCAATTGTGAACTGGCCGTACACCAGATCTCCAACCTGCAGAACAAAACCACACAATAGCATTGTGTACATTCATAATACAACATAAACAGTGCTCTTAAAGGAATAATAACACATTTAGGATCTGAGAGTGTTTATATGAGCAAAGTACCTGCACATTAGGTCTGTTCCTCTTGGTTGCTCCCTCAAATGCAAGGTATGAAAGAGATGCCTGTTCACTTCCTCCCACGTCCACTTTGAAGATATCTCCAGACTTTGCAGTCACAATGCCAATTACACTTTCACCTTTGGCTGGTACATACTGGAAGAAATAAGGATTAGCAGCAGAACTATTTAGCCCCTACTGAGTGATAAGCTTGTTTGGGGCAAATGTATAATTTTTATTTTATTTTATAAAATGTTTAAATATTTTTTGTTAAACAGTATTTAGAAAAGTACCAAAAATAAGTATAAACGAATATTAAGAACATTTTATTGAAGAAAAAAAAAGAATGATAATGAGCATTAACCATTTATTTAAAAATAAAAAAATAAATAATAATAATAATAATAATTATTATATAAACTTTGGGTTTACTGGTGTGAGTCCAGTACCCTCACCCGTCTCTGCTGAGAGTCTATCCAGTACATATTTGGCTGTTTATGGCGCAAAATTCCACTTTTACACACTTGAACTTCCTCCCCGTTTCTCCGGAGCCCTGGACCGCATATTATTTTGTCGGTTTTGATAGTACCATCTCCAGATTCAGGCAGTCTGAAGGAGAACACATCTCCGGGTAAAAGCACTTCACCGATTTTCTCTTTGAAACAAGCATGTACGGTGTCCATTGCAAAAAAGCAACGTGAGTGCCCTGTGTTTGTGTGCCTCCGGAACCGAGGACTCTTATTATTTTCAAAATAAAAGTTTAAAAATAAAATGAAAAAGAATGTTATTTTAAAGGGGTCCTATTATGCTCTTTTACAAAGTCTTGATTTTGTTTTGGGGGTGTACTAGAACATGCTCTCGTGCTTGGTGGTTCGAAAAAGACATTATTTTTCACATCATTTACATTATTAAAATACCTTTCTCCCCAGCCTGGCACAAACGGCTCGATTAGTTCCGGCTTTGATGAAGGTCCGCCTTCCGAAAAACAAAATGTGTTGTGATTGGTTAGCTGTCCCAGTGCGTTGTGATTGGCGAACAGCTTAGACAGTGTTTCAGTACTGCCACGCCCCTTGCTCCGTCTTTCAACAAAAGCTTTTGGCGAATCCGGCACTACTCACTCGTGATGTGGAAGCTGTCCTCAGTAAAATGCGCAGCATACGATAGCAAATTGGGGTTATAATGCTCAGGAACAGAGTAAAAAGTAAATTGCAACCACTGTTTCCTGACATCTTCCACTTTCGGAAGCCCAAATAAAGACGTTTGGGCACGGAGGTGAAAAAAACAGCGTTTCAGGCGGTCGCACACCGGACGAGAAGCGCAGCGTTGTGTCGCGCCACGTCTTTAAAATTCAAATACTTTATTTTCTATGAGTGTAGGCACACCGGCGGCGCCGTTCGGCGTCTGTCCGCGGCGCCCAGCTACGTCGTGTTATACTTGTAAGAATTGTTCTAGACCAGCGGTTCTCAATTCCAGTCCTCGCGTACCCCCGCTCCGCATGTTTTGCACGTCTCTCTTTGTTAACACACCTGATTCAGATCATCTCGTTAGAAGTGAGCTCCGTGCATGAACTGTGTTCCGATTGACATGCTCCCTACACAGTGTCCATTGCTCCCTACTCCCTGAGCAGGGGAAATCCGTTGAAGTTTACTTCACTTCGGAATATTAATTTACAGATTTGCGCTGCGCCGCTGCCTGCAGCGTCTTCACACACAAACGAAACTTACTAGAGAAGCGTGAAGTGGGACATAATATACCTCTGTAAATAAATACAATTTAAATTCACGTCTCGCATTCACGTCTCACATCATTTTTTTCTCTCTCTCCTTTGATGTCAGTCTAATACCCACACTCCAGTCTAGTAGGTGGCGGTAATGCACCTTTGAGATGAGTTGCCAACCGCCATTAAACCTGAAAGAAGAAGAAGAAGAAGAAGAAGACGGTATTAGCTTTTTGAAATCCTTTCGGTAGCCGTGCTTGAGACTCCAGCGGAAATGCGTCAAGGGGACTTTTGTTGTATTTCCGTTATGGCGGAGCACACAGAGGCAGAAGGCATTGGCCTGGCCGCTAACAGGTGCGGATTTTGCATTATATTTCATACACCGGCTAAAACAAACGACCAGTTATAGTTAGCTTCAGTTTTTTCCTTAAAAGTACACTGTGTAGCATTTCGCAGTTGGCTAAAGCGAATCTCTTTTAAGCCTCGTTTGGCCTGTTGGTCCGGGGACAATGAAAGCATCATAACAGCAGACGGCTGAGTGTTTTTACATCATGTCTTGACTTTTTTAAATTTTTTATAGATCGTGCATTTAGAAGTGATAGATCGTGCATGTAGACATAATTGCGTCATATAAGGTCTATTATGGCACCTCGGGAAGATTTAATGGGCGTTATGGTTCGTAAGAATGCGTTATAATGGGTTGTTTTGCTGTTTAGTGTCAGTCTGCAGCAGTCGTTGTGTACTGAACAGATACTGTTTGTTAATACGTTTGTTTTCGCTCCATCAGCATGGCTCAGCAGCCAGCAATCCGTTTCCCTGCCACTGCCCCTCCTCCTGCCAACCTCTCCACCCGCAGGCAGCCTTTACTGAGCACCCCTGTGCCTCCCTTTCCTATGATGAGGGGTCCTCCACCTCCTGCCCGGCCGCCCTTCGGACGGATTCCCTTTGACCCCAGTGTGCCCCCTCCCATGGGTGCCCCTCCTTTACAGGTATGAATATTATATCAGCTTCCATTTATTATGTAATTCCCCAAATTTGTTTTAATTGGAATGGAAAGAAACGGTTGGGAATTGGGAAGGTTTCATTGACACCTATGACTTCTTTTTCAATTTAAGAGACCCCCGTTTATGCCTCCACCTGGAGGATCCATGCCGCCTCCACCTGGCATGATTTTCCCTCCAGGAATACCACCTACAGCCGCTCCTGCTCCTGCTCCTCCTTCTACAGAAGAAATCTGGGTGGAGAATAAGAGTCCTGAGGGAAAGGTCTGACTTCTAATCCTTCATGGAGTGAGAGACATTGTTGGTTCCATATGGCAAGGCGTTATGGCTTGTATTCCAGTCACTTCACATGGGGAGTTGTATTCTTGTTTTTCAGAATTCTTTGATGACTAGAAAGTTAAAAAGAATCACTTTTATTTGAAATGGAAAACTTTTGTAGCGTTATACATGTTTTTACTGTCACTTACCTTCAATTTAATTAATCCCTGCTGAATAAAAGTACTATTTTCTTTAGAAAAACTACCTTTTGAACGCTAGTGCATATTAAATATTAAATAATATTATGTATTTATAAATATTCTAAAGACACGCACTTAAGAACATATAAAAATGTATATTTTAAGAAATAAATGCATAACTCGTTGGATCTTTCTTAATGTATTTTTAAAGTTCACTAGGCATTGTACATTTATATCCAAATCAATGCAACACAGTGCAGTGTTGCATTGTAACACTCCTCGCTTGATGCAGATAGACGATACCATAGATAAATACTTTGTTGCTTTCTTTACAGTGCGAACAGTTTGAAATGAAATCCTCATCCGTTTGCTTTTCCTTTCTATTTAGGTGTATTATTACAATGCACGCACAAGGGAGTCATCCTGGACGAAGCCTGAAGGAGTGAAGATGATCCATCAGGCTGAGCTGGGTCCAATGATGCTGAGCCAGGTAGCGGCGGCAGCAGCAGCCAGTGGAGGTTCCACCGGGCCTGGTCCATCTGTCAGCATCCCAGCTGCAGCCAACAGCACTACAACCACACACACCTCCCAGAGCCCCTCCACGGTCATGAGCTCCACTTCCTCTCCCAGCATCACAGCAGCCTCACCTCTCCTCCCAACACCTGTGTCAGGTAAATGTCATTCCATTGAGACATCTAAATTACAGCTTTTATGAGATTTCATTTGTTGACCAATAATTTATAAGCTTTTGGGTCAGAAACAGCATTCTGGAGAAATTTGTTTCATTCCCTATATGTTTGTTTATTTTGTTTGTTTATGGGTGTCAGAAGTTGTTTTGGGTCAGAAAATCATTGGAAAAAATAGTTTTGTTCCCCATTTGATTTGTTAATTATTTTGTCTGAATGTCAGAAGTTGTTGTATGTTAGAAACACATTCTGGAGAAGTTTTTGTTGTTCCACATTAGGCTTGCCACGATAGACGGTGCTGACGGTGATACCGGTGTTAAGCCGCAACACCGTTTACGTCACTTGCCCACCGCGTCACCGACCCCCACCATCGTTTTTATTTTTTTATAGTAATAAAAATCATTTAGTTCAGTAAAAGAACAGACACTACAATTAAAAACTGAATGCGGCTGCTCAATGCAGTTGAACGACAGTTGCATCACAGATCAGATTTAGTTTATCCAGTGAGGAGAGTGAGTCGAGCTGACTGACAAGAAGAGTGGGGTGAGACAGACAAGACGATCGCGGATGATTTAGTAAGAGGGAAAATTCAAAAGAACTAAAAACGAACAATTGCTTTACTCCGAATTGCCGTTACTTGAAAGTGAAAGTAAAATGCGCACGGCGCTTTTAAGCTATTTAAAAGTGAAGGAAAGCGAGGAAAAGAGGGAACGCACCGCCCCCGCGGTGATACCGGTATTACCGGTGTTGTCACACGTCGATTAACCGGTGGGAAAATTTCCTCACCGTCACAACCCTATTCTACATTTATTTGTTTGTTTCTTTCATTTTTCTGGGTTTTAGAAATTGTTTTGGATCAGGATTTGGGATAAATTTTTTGTTTATTTTGTCTGGGAGTCAGATGTTGTTTTGAGTCAGAAACGCATTCTGGGAAAATCTTTGTCCCCCGTTTGTTTGTTTATTTTGTCTGGATGTCAGAAGTTGTTTTGGGTCGGAAATGCCTTCTGGAGAAAGTTGTTTTGTTCCCCATTTGTTTGTTTGTTTATTTTGTCTGGATGTCAGAAGTTGTTTTGGGTCGGAAATGCCTTCTGGAGAAAGTTGTTTTGTTCCCCATTTGTTTGTTTGTTTGTTTATTTTATCTGAATGTCAGACGTTAATCTGTGATCATTCTGTACCCAATTGTTTGCCCTATAGTCCATGATGTCGTGGAGATGCCTTCAGTTGTAGCCACAACCCCCAGTGCCATGGCAACCCCAATAGCAGCTGTCAATCCTCCAACGGTTACGGTCGCCATGACTACAGGACCGCCACCTCTGCCAGTGACATTGCCCCATGCTGTGCCACAGCCTGCTGCTCCAATGCCAGGATTCCCTCCTGTCATGGTGCCACCCTTCAGAGTGCCCCTGCCTGGCATGCCCATTCCACTGCCCGGTAGGTTTGACCTTTAAACTTGTTGAACCATTTGTACCCTGTTAATAATTCTTCTGCTCTAGTATGCGACAGCCTTTCTCTCCTCTGTTCCTTGTCTTTCTGTCTCTTTCACACTATCCAGTGCATGTCTGTAATTTGACTGGAACCTGTAGAGTCTAAAAGATGCCCACTACTTATTGGATGACAGCTAACAAACATCTTTAATGAAATTATATAATAGAAGATGATTCTAGAAAGCAAAGCAAGCTCTATTGTAGTATATTAAGTGATGAATGCAGTTTTAACTACTGCATTAATGTTGTGGCATTGCAGAAGTGACATTCAATGTTCTATAGATGGCAGTAATCCGCCATTTTCATGTGCACTTGCTGCCAAGCAACATAGGCTGCTGACCTTATTGCCTAATTTCAGTTGAATATAGATCAGCTAGCACTATTTTCATCATAAAAGGTCTAGTATTTACTGTCATGACACCTGGAAGCAGTAGTTGACGTATGTTTGTGTTTTTTCCAACACTTTGTGCTTGCTTATACGCTCTTTCAGGTGTAGCAATGATGCAGATAGTAAGCTGTCCCTATGTAAAGACTATCTCTCCTACCAAAAACGGTAATTCCATTCCCCGTTATGGCATGTTAGTAACTGTTGTGCATCTTTATGCTTTTTTTTTAAACGTAATTATTTCCAGTTAGAGGCCCCTCTGTTTCTTACAAATGAGACCTTTTGAAGACTCACTTTTCACTTTTTCAATTGTTTTTGACCTAACATTTTGCATAGTTATTTTTCCACCTCTGAAAACTTGTAACAGTTACAGCTGAGTTGTAGGCAGCAACCTAGATAATAAACTGGTTTAGAAATTCAGATAACAGTGTTGTGATTTGTTGTAACGGTGTTCCTACCTTGCGTCCGTTTTTATTTCATGTTTTTAATGTGATATTGTGGTGGTATCGTCTTTGCATGCATTAGTCCCATGTTTAATTGAATGTTTAGATATTTTGTGGAGTAGATAAATCATCCAACAGAGATCGTATAATGGCCAAATCTTTTTTTTTCTGTTGGTAGAAACTGACATTTTTTTAACTATGCAAAATCATTATTCTGTCATTCTGATTGTGGAAGAGAAGAGCTACATGTCTTGAACTGCTTCTGATTTTGTGTATGTTATATCAAGGTATGCTCCCTGGCATGGCACCACCCTTGGTACCCATGATGCCCCATCAAATGGCGATGGTTGGGCCCTCAGGACTGCCCGGAGCTCTGAGTACATCTGACTGGACTGAGTTTAAAACCCCAGAGGGAAAATCCTACTACTACAATAAATACACACAGGAAACCACCTGGGACAAACCAGAAGAACTCAAAGAGACAGGTTAGAGACTGGGACCCTTGGTGTGACTTTAAAAAAAATAAATAAACTAAATATTATCTAAATATTACCAATGACATTATCTTTTTCAAAACTTGCTCATCTTCCATAACAGAAAAAGAGAGTGAGAAGATCAAAGATGCAGCTCTTAACATGATTGATGCTGAAATCATGGACATGCAAGTTGGAAGCCCAAAAATTGACCCACCAAAAGAGAAGAAAGAGGTTGTTAGCATATCTGGCTTTCTAAACTGTTGTGTATAAACAAGCATTTCTGACATCTCTGTGTGTTATTCTTAGGAGCTGAAAGAGGAAGAGATGACAGAGGAACAGAAGGCAGCGAAAAAGGCAAAGCCTGTTGCAACCACACCTATTCCCGGCACGCCATGGTAGGCAACTGCCATTTACACAGATTTATTTGATCCACACAAATCAGATCAGCTAGATTTAATAGACAAAGGTTTTATTTGATAAATCACCCTCAACATGAGTTCATAAAGTGAAAAGGTTATTTAGTTTGAGCTCTTGGATATTGGCATTTTGTATTGGATTTACCTGTGCCCTAATGCTTATGCATATGTGTCAGGTGTGTGGTGTGGACGGGCGATGAGCGGGTGTTCTTTTATAACCCAACCACGCGTCTGTCCATGTGGGAGCGGCCGGAGGAGCTGGTGGGACGGGTTGATGTAGATAAAGCGATTCAGGAACCTCCCCACAAAAGAGGCCTGGACAACAGCCATAAACTGGGTAAAGGTCATCTCCATAGAATTGCATCTGTTGCATTTATTGTTAGATAACACAGTTTAAAATATTTAGAAAGAATCCAGATAATACTGTATATAAACCATGTGCAATGTACTAATTTCAGCAAAAATATCGCTCGCAAATTAACATTTTTGGTCACAAATGCAACCATTTTAGGAGCAGTCTGGAGCCCTGCAATAAGAACAAATTTGACATGGTATATTTTTAGATTTTTCTAAATTTGTCTACACCACTGAAGTCAAAAGTGGGGAAAATTTCTGTATGTCAGCTGTGAGCATGAAGCATTCGCTATCCATGTCAGACTCCTTCAACAGCTTGTTAATAACTGTCTAAACCTTCTGTTTCGTGTTTGTGTGTTTCCTGGGACACAGTGCTGGCTAAAGAGGAGCAGGAGTTTGCTGTAGCAGAAGACATACCTGATGATGAACCCAGCAAAGCCAAGAGACGAAAGTGAGAATTTTTCCTGGAACTTGTATTAAGAAAGTAAACAGTCAGTTTTGACTTTGTATTGACTTTAAGGTTCCATGTCAGAGGAAGTTGCATAAAAATACATTTCTCCCAGCACTTGAAGGTAGTTCACACCAAGTCAAATGCAAATGAAACTAAAGTATAAAATATTCACAAGCGTTTTTTCAAAACTGTTCAGTCAGAATATTTCTTCATTCTCTAAAATATTTTTGGATACCAGATAAATTGTTTAGCATTTGAGCAATTAAAAATGAATGTGGTCTCTAAATAAGACGGCAAATTATTATGATATTATGGACTGTGAAGGAAGTCAAAGACATTTTGTTTTGACATCTTGTGCATTTTCATGCCAAAAATTCTGACTTAATGTGAATAGGCTGGTTTAGGCTTAGTCACATGTCTTCTGGCTGATTAGTTGTTTTGTGCATTAGGATAGAGGAGAAGAAGGAGGCCGACTCGGAGAAGGAGGCAGCTATGGAGGCAGAGCTTAAGGCAGCGCGTGAGAGAGCCGTGGTACCTCAGGAAGCTCGGATGAATCAGTTTAAAGACATGCTGCTTGAGCGAGGGGTAAAACACATACACGTTATTCATATAACAAGTATATATATATATATATATATATATATACAATCATATATATACAATATATATATACAATCATGGTCAGAATTGTTGGTACTCTTGGTAAATATGAACAAAGATTTAAAAATAAATCTGCATTGTAATCCTTTTGATCTTTTATTTTAAAAATTTACAAAAATCTGACCTTTCATTGAAGTATAAGAAATTAAAATGGGGTAAATCTTATTATGAAATAAATGTTTTTTCTCTAATACACATTGGCCACAATTAATGGTACCCTTTTATTCAATACTTTTTGCATTTTTACATTTCATTGTACACATGGGGTACTTTTTTTACTCCTGTGTGCATCAAACTCTCATTGAGTTGAAAATAAGATTTTATTTAGTTTTATCTGACCAAAGAATCCGGTCCCATTAGAAGTTCCAGTAGTGTCTGGCAAATGAATATGCTGGAGTTTGTTTTTCATTTTCTTCTCTTGATGTTT